ACACCCCGGCGGCGGGCCCCCTGCTTCTGTCCGCAGGCGAGCTGCTCCGGCGTCATGCAGGCGGCGTAGCGGTCATTGCCCGAGGCTGGGCGCCTTTCGATATTCTAGTATTTCTCAGGCTTCCTTCTTTTGGGCCCTGCTGCTGCGGGCACAGAGAACAGTAGGATTCCCCTCACCTAGCCATCGCCAGCCATGTCCGCAAGGGAAGCTGCAGCCACCGCGATGACAGAGGCCGAAGAACCCGGAGGCAGAAAGAACTCCAGCAGTCCCCGCCCAATCCCGGTGGTTGGGGTGGTGACAGAGGACGAGGAGGCTAAGGTATGGGCAGGTGTCTGCTTTGGAAGGCAGAGTGGCTGGGGGTGAGGCCTGGGTCGTCAGGGGCACAAATGGGGACCTGAGTGGAGACAGGGAGCTTATGGGACGGAGTTCCCAAGTGCAGAGCTGCGCCCCCGGAGAACTGCGCCGCTGGCTAGTGGGGCTGGCTGCCGGCCACCAACCTGTCTGGGGACTGCCTGTGACTCTCCAGGAGGAGGTTCCCGCCAAACTGAGTAGGCGAGGCTTTGTGGCGCTTCTTCTCTGCGGTCACCTAGGGACTGCGAGGGGAGTCACTCAGTGAAATTTAATTTGATGACTAAATCACTTGGTTTTCATTGGACTTTTATACTTGTAATCAAGTGATGTTCTTGATAAAGGCGTGAGTTTTCCCATGTTTAAATTTGGTACTACTAAAAGCTGCACTGAGAGGAAATGCCCTTAACATAAGCAATTAAACACCGTTTTTATGTGAAATTAGAAGCTAGGAATTATAGAATGAGTTAGGAGAGAATGATGAGTCAGAATTCTATTTGGGGTTTGCTTTGTCGTGGATACAAAATTATTCAGGTGGGTCTGTTGAAAGATCTCACTCTGAGACTGTTTCTTGGAGGTTCAACAGGTGGCGTGGCGCTGTACTCCCACACGGCTGACTTGAACCACAGTTCAAGTCCTGGTTCTGACAGCTTGCTGTGACTTGCTTTCTCACTCCCTCCCCTCATCAAATTAAAAAATAATAATAACAATACATAAAATTAAATCTTTTTTAAAGATTAATTTTATTTAGTTATTATTATTATTCAGTTTGACTGGAAACAGAGAGAAAGGGAGGGAGAGTGAGAAAGCAAGCCGCCAAGTCCAGGACTTGAACTGTGGTTGGCCATGTGGGAGTCCAACACCTTAACCATCATGCCATGCCACCTGCTGGCCCCATAAATTAATTTTTTTTTTTAAAAAGCTATTTCTTGGGGAACCAGCAGTTAGCATAATGGCTATGTTGCTGGACTCCCAGGTAGTCGACCGCAGTTCGCGTCCTGGACCCGGTGGCTTAGAACTCACACCAGGCGCGTGTGCGTGCGTGCCCAAGATCCCAAGAGGAGAATGAAGGAGAAGGGATTGCGGCATGGCCATCCCCCCTGGGGGGTGATTTCTCGCTTTCTGTCTCTATGTCTCTCTGTCTGTCTGGCGAGAGGCACGTGCCCTATAGCGAAAACCTCTTAAAAAAAAAAAAAAGATTATTTCTTGGATCTCCGCAGCCTTGACAAGGGTGTTTAGAAATCTGAAATCATTTTTTCTTCCCTAACAAAAACTTTATTCATTTCATCTAGGAAACATTGGCATAATAAATTTCAGTTACAATTTCACATGTATCAGAAATACAATACTTACAAATTAATAATAAACTAGTCTATGGCCATACCACCCTGAACGTGCCCGATTTCGGCTAATGATAAACTATAGTTTCGCAAAAGATTGTAAACATTTTGATACTACTCAGCCCTTTCTGTTAGACAAAGTGCTCTTTTGATGACAGATTACAGATACACTATTGTAAACTATTTCAGACAATACAAAAAAAAGGTTTTGCTTTGTTTTTCTCTTATAAGCAAAAGTTCATCATTTATATCAAATCGTTTGTTTCATACTACCCATTGGTCCTTGAAAGAGCCATGATCAAGCCTCAGAACCACGAATTCTATGGAGGAATCCTACCCTGCCTCACACTAATTGTGTGGGGCTGCTATGGGAATTTGTGCTGAGGCTTCACAAGTCTCAGGCTGCGTCAGGAACACTGTCTCCTGCGTTCACATCCTGGAGCCTTGGAGAGTTCCTTGGGAGTGGCCAGTTGAATAGGGACTTCTTTTACTGTGGGAATAGGGTTGAACTCTCTGAGGGTAGTCAGATATTTACGCAGTAGCCTGTGGAGCAACAGCACTTCTGCATGAGGAGGAACAGGTGTTAGGGGAATTTACCTATTCGATTTGTGGAGGTATTCCAGTCCTGTCTGAGAAGAAATTTGAGGAACAATAGCTCTCCACTGCCAAAGCTGCAAGGAAGGGCAGTACCATATAGCCCCAAGCACGGAGCAAAGGAGAAGTAGGTGAATTTGGTAACTGAGGGTTCTCATTCTTCTCTTACTTGGTATAAGAAGGCTTGGAGAGGATTATATAAGACAGCCATGCATTACAAAAAAAGAGAGAGAAAAATGCTTTTAACAGGCTATTGCCAAAATAGTCTGCAACATACCAGTAAGATAAAACAAGTATAACTATGTATTCTATGTGTATTCTCCCTTCTGTCTCTTATTTTTCCCATTTTAATTGATTAATTAATTAATTTTTGTAGGGGTTTTTGCTCTAGGGTGTGTGTCCTTACGAGAGAGAGCAAGAGAAAGAGAGAGAGACAAAGACAATGAGAGAGAGAGTGAGTAATCACCTCCCAGAGAGGATGGGCACACCACAATTTCTTTTCCTCTGTTCTTCTCCCAGAATCTTGGGAATGCATTCACATGTACCTGGTGTGAGTTTCAAGCCACTGTCAGGAACTAACCACAGTCAGCCATGTGGGAGTCCAGCAACATAATGGCCCCACCATCTGCTGCCCCCGCCCTCCACTTTCTTTTATTGCCTCCTCTCTTTTCAGGACTTTAGAATTTTCTTTCAGGAGAATTAATTAATTTGCATTGATTTGTCTTCCTGCCTTGTTAATAACTACTTCAAGGAGTATTAACATTTTACAAAGTGCTGAAGAAAAAGGCATTTTCTACCCAAAGGCGAAAAAAATAAAATAGAAACTTTTTAGAAGTTAGAGAAACAGTAATAACAACCACATTTGTGTTTGTTTGTTTGTTTGTTTGTTTGTTTTGTTTTACAAATGAGGGCCCTAAGGTCATGAGAAGTTACCTGAGAGTTACTCAGTTTCTTTAATCATATAATGGAGTCTAGAGTTCCTAGAGTGATAAAATTATAACTTTTTAGACCTCTGCCCCAGGCCAGTAGAGGAAAGACATTTGGAACTCTAAAATGTTTCCAGTCCTTTCAAATAATTCCACATTTGCAACTTACACCTTTGCCTGTGCTTGAGAGAGTAAATCCCAGTAGCTGAAAGTGTGGGTCTCTAGTTAGGCAGGTTTCATCACTTACCAACTTTGTGACCAAAGGCAAGAATCTTAACCTTTCTGTCAAATGCAGATAATAATAGCATTCCTGTCCACTGTAAAGATTAAATGAAATAAAGCATATGGAGAACTTTTACAGTACACTGTGGGGAAGGAATGTTTTTGAAAAGTTCATGGAAAGTGCATAGCATGAAAAAAAACTGCATGGATTTCAGAATGTTTTGTACCAAAATAAAATCATATTTTAATTTTTTTAATAAAAGTCCCTTTTTATATTCAAAATGTGCAGTTATCAACATCATTTTAAAATTTTATATCATTATTTTTTAAATTTATATTTAATCATTGTACATCTTGATATGTACAACGTGGTTTTTCCCCAGCATGAATATACTATATATTAGTCTAGTCAAAGATATTACCATATACATCATCATGAACAGATAACTTTTTATTTTTTATCTGTTAAATGGTTTGTCTTTTCCCTAATCCCCTCCCTCCCATCCCCCTATTACCTACCTTGTCCTATACTGTCACTAGTATCTACAGTTGGTTTCCATGCTATTATACTTTCTAGTCTTTCAATTTCTGCTGTAGAATCCAGACATTCAGTGTGTGTGTGTGTGTGTGTGTGTGTGTGTGTGTGTGTATGTGTGTAGTTTTTCTTTTTTTAAGAGAGATTTTTGCTATAGGGCACTTGCGCTTGCCAGCAGACAGAGAAATAAAGCAAGAAATCACTCCTTGGGGGTGGGAGTGGGGGGATGACCATGCCGCAATCCCTTATTCTCCATTCTTCTTTCAGGGATTTTGGGTATACACACACATGTGCCCAGTGTGAGTGAGTTTTAAGCCACCAGGTCCAGGACTCGACTATGTGGGAGTCCAGCAACCTAACCATTACAACATCTGCTAGTCCTGACATTCAGTGGGTTTTTAAACATTCGATCCCTATACATCATTTGGCTTGTGAAGGGAATTTTCCCAGCATGAACTACATCCCATACCAGTCCAGCTGAAAATACTATACACGTTATCATCAACAGGTAATAAACCATTTCTGTGTCCCACAAATGTCTTGGCTTTCTGTGTTTTCTCCCTGATTCCCTTCCATATACTCTTGGCTTCTCCCACTCTCAGACATTCAGTATGTATTAAGCAGGGACATACAATGCCTGTCTTTCATAGTCTATCTTGCTTCACTGAGCATTAAATTTTCCATGTTTGTCCAGGTTGTATCAAATGTGAAGGTCTCATTGTTTTTATGGCTGTGTAGTATTCCATATACATATATGCGACATTTTTTCAATCCATTCATCTGTTCTTGGTCATTTGGGTTTATCTCATGTCCTCCTGATTATGCTGCAATAAACATCAATTGGCAAGTGTTTTTCCAATTGAGTATTCTCCTATCCTTTGTGAAGATACTTAGGAGTGAAATTGGGTCATATGGTTGTTCTATTTGTAGGTTTCTGAGGAGTCTCCATATACTTCTCCACAGTGACTTACTAATTTACAGTGTAGTGGGGGAGGGGGATGTTCCCTTTTCTGCAATCTCTCTTCCGTTCTGCTCTCACTCTTTGTGCATCAGAATCAGTGGGAATAGGGAACCAGCAGTTAGCGTAATGGCTATGTCGCTGGACTCCCACGTAGTCGAACGCGGTTCCCATCCCGGACCCGGTGGCTTAGAACTCACACCAGGCGGGTGTGCGTGCGTGCCCAAGATCCTGAGAGGAGTAGGGAGGAGAAGAGATTGCAGCGTGACCACCCCCTCAGGGGGTGATTTCTCGCTTTCTGTCTCTATGTCTCTCTCTGTCTGGCGAGCGCACGTGCCCTATAGCAAAAACCTCTCCAAAAAAAGAAAAAAGAATCAGTGGGAATAGAGGAATAT